CATACACACTCATACACCAACTCACAATCATACACACCCACGTAAACACACANCTCTTGCACACACACTCACAAACACTTATACACACACTCACACACAAATATTCACACAAAAACACTCATACACACTCATACGCGCTATACACCAACTCACAATCACACACACACACACACACACACTCACAGAAACAAACTAATACACACCTATACACTAACTCACACACACATACATTTAAACACGCACACTCATACACTCTCACACACACGCACACACACACACACACACTTAAACACCAATACTCTTGCACACACTCACACTCTTACATACACATGCACATACACACTCATACACCAACTCACAATCATACACACCCACGTAAACACACACTCTTACACACACACACTCACAAACACTTATACACACACTCACACACAAATATTCACACAAAAACACTCATACACACTCATACGCGCTATACACCAACTCACAATCACACACACACACACACACACACACACACATACTCACAGAAACAAACTAATACACACTTATACACTAACTCACACACACATACATTGAAACACGCACACTCATACACTCTCACACACGCACACACACACACTTAAACACCAATACTCTTACACACACTCACACTCTTACACACACATACACACTCATACATCAACTCACAATCATACACACCCACGTAAACACACACTCTTACACATACACACTCACAAACACTTATACACACACTCACACACAAATACTCACAAAAAAAACTCATACACACAAACAATCCAACACACACAAACAAACACACCCAAACACAGACTCATACTCTTTCATAAACAACCCCCCCCCACACACACACACACACACACACAGACACACACACACACAAACACAAAAACTCACACACACACACACAAACACAAAAATACTCACACAAAACAGATTCATACACACTTACACTCCACCTGAACATCATACACTTACACACTTACTCTTATTCACACACTTTCACTCACACCAACACACACACACACACACACACACACACACACACACACAGGTGCATAGTTGCTTTGGTCTGCTTGTTCTGTTCCTGCAGTTGAGTTTTTGGAGGAGCTGTAGATTTATAAGTCTCAATGTTGTCCAGAAAGCTTTCTCTCTCTCATGAGTAGTGGATTGCTCATGATATAGTGTGTATGTGTGTGTGTGTGCGCAGTGTGTGTGTTCTCATTGGCTGCAGCATGTCCATTAGTTGATCAATTCAATTCAATTCAATTCAGCTTTATTTGTATAGCGCTTTTACAATGTAGATTGTGTCAAAGCAGCTTCACATAAATGGTCATAGTAATTGGAACAGTGTGGTTCAGGTTTTAGTGTTTAAGTTCAGTTCAGTTCAGTTTAGCTCTGTTCAGTGTGATTTAATCATTACATTATTGATTTAATCATTCTCTGTCTCCATCTGCTGGCTGCTCGGTGTACAGCAGCGCTCCAACATGTTCATGCTGAAGATTATTCAACTTATTACAGTTTTTAATAAGAGGCACAGTGGCTCAATGGTTAGCACTGTGGCCTTACAGCATGGAGGTCGCTGGATCGAGTCCTGGCTTGACCAAATGGCACTTCTGTGTGGAGTTAGCATGTTGTCCCTGTGTTGGCATGGGTTTCCTCCGGGTTATCCGCTTTCCCCCACAGTCCAAACACCTGCGCTATAGGGGAATTGATTAAGTAAATTGGCCGTAGTGTATAAGTGTGTGTGTGTGTGTGTGTGTGTGTGTGTGTGTGTGTGTGTGTGTGTGTGTGTGTGTGTGTGAGCGAACCAGCGACCCCCATTTCATATTGTGATGCTTTCTGCTGTTAGAGTTACAGATCGGTGTGTCATGTCTGTTTTCTGACTGAGAATTGTTGCCAGTGTTTTGGTGAAACTCCATTGGTCCAACTGTGTGTCAGAAATGTTTTAGCGTTTGATTGACACGAGCTCTGTCCAATCACACGCAGGTGTCGTGCGCAGCAGAGGCGGAGCCTGCAGTGCTGGGGCTGGCCAAACAGTTCGGTCTGTCCAGAAACAGTCACATGAGCTTTGAGTTTGATGACAGAAAGGTGATGAACAGGTGAGTGTCAGACGGCAAGATCTACATCCTTGTGTGTGTGTGTGCTGGTTTAGCTATACTTGTGAGGGCTCAAGTGTCTTCATTTACTTAGTGAGATATTAAAACAACCCACTAGTGTTGCCATTTAATGATACTTACTAATTGAAAGTGTTAATTAGTGATGCAGAACATGTTGTTATCAGTATGTAAGGATGTGCAGTTGTTTCTGTGAGGGTTGGTTTGGGTTTGGGTTAGGGCTGGGGTCAGGCCATAGACACTATCATTCACTATCTGTCTACGTGACAGAAAAACAATGAAACTTCCTCACTATAACTAACGTGTGTGTGTGTGTGTGTGTGTG